CTGCTCCCTTCGCTTGATTTTTACCCTCATATGGTTGAATTTTGCATTTTTTTAAACTCAATTTTATTTTTTCCATTTGGCGCATGTTTGGAAGTAGAAGTTGGCATTAGTTTGCTTCTAAATAGAAATGTATATGACTTAGTTGACAAAAATATTCGTTTTCCATTGAGTAATTTTTTTTTTGTTTTGTACATGTCATTACTGTAATACTTATCATCTTTGGAGAAGGAAATCCCAGTTGTGGTGCTGAAAAGGAATGTATATGACTTCGTAACGAGAAATTTCTCTTTCTTTTTCGGTTTTTTTTCATAAAATAATTTTTATTTTTTTTCTGAAAATATATTTGTATTTTGATTTATATTTTTTTTCGTTTTATGTTTTTTTTTCTAATTTATATTTTTTTTCTAAATTTTTCATTTGCTCCTTTTTCAATGTCCCCCTCCCCTTCCCTCTTCCTCTTTTTATTAGTCTTCCTTTTTAAGATAAATCGGCTATTGCATTACCTTATTTATCAAAAAGGCCGTCTTTCTAACTGACGTTCTTGTTAGTGGGAAGCTGTGTTTAACAGTCATTACGATACAGTTTATCGTAGAATGCCTTTACCTTCCAAAGAAATGAAATTTAGAGGGTTTAAGCGAAAGAGATTAAAAAAATGTTTTCATCATGCATAGTTCGGTTTGTGTTTGCAGCTAATGGATGAAACACAGACAGACTGCATCGTGAAATGTCTTTTACATGACACCTAATTCCAATCTTCTTACTCTACTATTCAGCCTGTGTTGGAAAAATTAGGATTTTCCCGCTTTAATTACTTCTTTTTAGACCCTTTCGGAAGATGCAGCATCATCGCCGAATCCTGAAGATCTACAGAGCATGCTTGATGTGATTGGCGAACGAACGCCACTGTTTCTGATGAGAAGTGTGCTTGCTGGGGCTGAGAACTACAGGTAATTTTCGGAGTATTTTGGTTTATTTGACTAGTTGTGCCACCTGTGGCACGGATGTCAGATAATAGATGGACGAAGCGGATAATGGAATGGTACCCGCGCACGGTCAAGCGAACACTGGGGAAGGCCACCAGTGAGGTGGCGAGACCCCGTGGTACACCTGTACGGTATCGCATGGACTCGTAGTGCGCAACAACGAGTTGAATGGAGAAATTTTTGTGTAAATCACTAGAGCATTACGGGGAGTTGAGTTCCAGGAATAAACAGAAAGAATCGAGCAGACGAGTGGAATGGGAAAATAGCGGTGATACGAGTGAGACGAATTCCGAAGAGATTTCACCAGAACTTGTTGTAAGCGAAAGTCTTTGCGCATTTCTGTCATCAGCTGAAGGCCTCAAAATGCGACCTGTAAAATGCGCGGCAGATATTCTTATACGTGAGAATGCACCTCGAAAAGGCTTTGCTGTAAGTTTAACTATTAATTTTCACTGATTTTTATTTCTTTTGCCTTTCGATTTACTCGAAAATGAGGTGCTTATCAGTTGGAAAGAGTCGAAAACTACATTGCGATACATGAAAAATGATAGGGAACTTCCGAAAAGACTATTACACGTACTACTTGTTTTCTAACAGTCACGGATTCGTGGTGTGAGAGTTATCACTAACCAACTTAATAAGTCCCTTCGATGAACAGCAGGGGAGAGAAGGGGGG